GTGAACAAAACTACTTCATTATGAGAAATAGAAAAAACTACAAGCACTTTACCTCAGAAAAGAACATGTTTTTCAACCAATCTTGACATAGTTCTATTTACCCGCAAAACGGTACAGTTGAATTTATACGTGGTTTCTAGACAAGTGAACTAATTTGATCCTGAAATAATATAATAATTGAAGAAATACGCAGTACTTAGCCTTGGAATGTACATGAAATAGCAAAGATAGTGATTTTGTAAACACGGTTTCCGAACACAACAATGATGGGATCAAAAAGCAAGGGAGTGGAATTATATAAAGCTTTGTATAGAATACAATATATATTATTGCCAGAAATTTTGTGTCATTTACAATGATAACTGAGCTCACTATTTATAGTTATGTTTAGAGAAGAAGGTCTTAGGATCATGCCTTCCTTTAATGTTAATTATGAGGGTCATTGATGAAGATGTAACGTTGAGCGCACATGTCATGTTGTTGTTGTTTAACAAAGAATAATGTAGGATACTCCGTCCATCCACCACCATCATTATCTTAAACCATCTCAAAAGATTTAATTTCTTAATGTCTATATCAATGTCATTTAGTTTTAAAATAAAACTCCAAGCTTTTTCCCTTTTCATTGCTATGTCTTTCCCCTAATACTTTTCTCTCCTCCCACAACCCCATCTTCCTTACCAAAAGATTGCCTTTTCCCCCCTTCTCCAATACATCAGAACTTGATTAAAATGTTAAGTTGAAACACAGAAGCTAATACAATATTATGAAATAATTATTTATTATTATAAATGAAATATTAAATCAGATATTTGGGAATGCTTATTAAATGTGAAATTGTTCAACTGACCATCGAATAAATTTTAAGTTGGAAAGTTGGGAAGAGTGAATTTATCAATATCAAAATCTGGATCAATGGAACCCGGAGCTAGAGTCTCCTATCTCGACCAAAAAATTGCCAGATCATTCCGTCGAACTGATTAGCTTGGGGAGGTCGCGATTGCCACAAAATTTGGCTTGAAAATTGTGTAGTTTTCGGTGATTAATTCCAAACCCTATGTTAAATAATACAAAGAAGCACCCAATCCTTATTTCTTTTTTCTTTCCTTTTGGTAAGAGAGAATATATTATATATATAATTAAAATAACTCCATGGCTGATTAGCGAGAATTATAAATATCACGGCGTTCAATTTATGAACTTTGGAATTTCGAGGTTGTTTGCATCACTCAGCTCAAAGTCTGTTTGTAGCATAGTCATCAAACTCCAAGGTAAGAAAACGGAAGAAGGAAACAGAGAGAAACAAAAAGACACAGTCACCAAAAACGTCAAACATAGCAGGCGGTGGCCTTTTAGGAAATGACAGGACACATGTGCGTATGAAATGACCAAACTACCCTTAGTGGAAGTGCCTTTTAGAGACTGAACTGACTTGGATTATATGTCATGCTTTCTACTTCTAACAGTTTTTAACCTTTAAATATAAGATCTAGGAAAATTAATAGTTTTTGAACCTTTACTAGCGCAATTTTTCTTTTTAAAAAAAAACAGAAATCATTCATGGTTTTGGATTCACATTATAATTTAGCAAATTTTAACCTTTAAATATAAAATTCATAAAAAAAAATTACTAGTTTTTGAATCCTTTGTAGTGCAAAATCCAGGAAAATTCAGCAAACGATTCATGATTTTTAAATTCACATTATATTTCAGTAATTTTTAACCTTTAAATATAAAATTTGGAAAAAATTACTAATTTTTGAACCTTTGCTATTGTAAAATCTAGGAATAATTCATAGTTTATGAATTCACATTATACTTCAATAATTTTTAATTTTAATTTTAAATACAAAATTCGAGAAATTCCAGGAACGATTTATGTTTTTTTTTGAATTCACATTATACTTTAACAATTGAGAGCTACTATTTCAGGTCATTCAAACTCCAGGAATAATTGTTGAATTATGAACTTATAAATATTCAAAGTCCGGTAGTCATTCTTGGAGTTGCTCCGTATTTTTTGAACAACTACAATATCCCTAAAATATTAATTGACTTTTATGTCCTTAAATATTTGTATAATTTAAGGATCTAATTGTAAATTATCTAATGATGGAATCCTTTTTTGATTTAAACTTCACATATCCTACAAAATTGATCTTACTTGGATTAGGAAGACACGTCCATAATTTTCTTTAAAAAGAAATTGTTGTTCCTAATTACAAACGAATATGTAATTGTGTGAAAATAGGTGATTTACGTAGTGTATGAGATATATTTGAAAAAGGGATAGTTAAATATCTTTATACCCTTAAAATATTAACCGATAGTAATCTTTAGCACTCTATCTAATATGTAGGATGTCAAACCAATTAAAAATTTGTTAACTTTGAATTGGTAAATCATTACCGTGGTAAACTGTGATGACCCGATAGGTCATCTTTAATTTAACATTTAATTATATGCTATGAGACCTCAAATAGAACCATTCAACATTCTTCGACTTGCGTGCGCAGTCTGTATATTTATCCGAAAAACGTTTATGTGAAAAATTGATTAAAATGTGAAATAGTGCTTCAAAACTCATTTCAGTTGACTTCGGTCAACGTTTTGAGCAAACAAACCCGGATCAGTGTTCTGACGGTCCCGGTGGGTCCGTATCGTGATTTGAAACCCGGAATCGAATTTGAAAGTCCCTGACTCGAATTATTTTCATTTGACGGAAACTAAAAATTTAAAGGTTTAAAGAATTCCTAAATTGGCCATAATTGGATTTTTGTTGATACCGGGTCCTGATTTGGATTCCGAGAGTTTGATCAGCTTCGTAACAATATTTATGACTTGTGTACAAATTTTGAAGTTATTCTGAGGTGCATAGACACGTTTTCCTTTAGTTTTTGAAAAAATTAAAAGATTTGATTTTATAAAGCTTGAGTTTATAAATTTGACCGAGAATTGACTTTAATGATGTCGGGTTTGGATTATACATATAAAATAATCTACTATACCCACTTACAATTTGAATATAAAGAATTAATTTTGCAAAGATCTCATGTGCAATTTTTTATTGTACTCCCGTGAAAGGGTCATATAATAACATGTTTAATGGACTACAAGATTGTGTAAGATTTGTTTTATTTTTCTGAAAAAATCATGTGAAATAGCTGCAGTTACATTATACACAATTTTGGATATAGAGAGATACTTAAAGATAAATAGAAAATTTATATAACATTTACTATACTCAAACAATTATCTTAACATGAATTCTCGATTCCTACAATAATACATTTACATAATAAAGAGGATTTTTTTTTCGACCACCCAAATGAAAACAGAAGCTTTTAGCAAATGTATAAAAGAAAGAAAAATAAACAAACCCTTTGAAGTAAGGGTGGCAAGTGGGCCAGTTCCGGGCCTAAACGGACTAAGTGGGCCGGTTCAAACGGTCCCGGTTCCGGGCCGGTCCCAAATTAAACGGGCCAAATGGTCCCGGACTAAACGGTCTTTTTGTAGGGACCGGGACCGTTTGATCCCGAGCTAAACGGTCCCGACCCGAGGGTTAAATGGGCTAAGTGGGCCCAGCGATTTTTTTTAAAAAAAAAAAAATTAGACAAAAGGATGTTAAAAAAAATATCTAAAGCAATGCATTTTATTATAGAATTGTGACCTAAATTTTATAATATATATATATACACTATACTATATATACATCTTATATCGAATATAACTTTTATATATATATATATATATATATATATATATAAGCTATAAGCTATATTCGATAAGCTATATATCGATATAAGATGTATATATAGTATATATATATATAAGCTATATTCGATAAGCTATATATACATCTTATATAAGATGTATATATAATATAGTATAGTATATATACTAAATGTATAATATAGCTTATATAAGATGTATAGTATAGTATATATACTAAATGTATATATATATATATAAAAGCTATATTCGATAAGATATATATACATCTTATATAGCTTATATAAGTTGTATATATAGTATAGTATTATATATACTAAATGTATAATATATAAGCACTATATATATATTGAATATAGCTTATATATTATACACTTAGTAACAATAAAGTAAGCAATAGTAGCAATTATAGAAGAAAATTAGAGAGAGATTGTGATAGATTGATGATTTTGTAAGAAAAATGAAAGAATGAAGGGGTATTTATAGTTGAAAATAGGAAAAAAAATATAATTATAAAAAGTTTGGGGTTAAAATAAAATTGGGGGGAAATGATCCCGATCCGATCCCTGGCGGGCTAAATGGTCCCGGACCTGGTGGGCCCAAAGCATATGACTGGCCCAGGCCCATTAAAATCGGGCCAAACGGTCTTGACCCGTTTGACCCATTTGGCCTGCGATCCCGATTCGGTCCCGAACCTGGACCGGCCCACTTGCCACCCTTACTTTGAAGGGAATCAATGTTGTTAAAGGCAAAAGCCGTGGTACGGCAACATGCAAAGGAATAAATTGGTCGGACCAAATAATAAATTCGAAATACAGTTATTTGAAATTTTGCTAAGTTGCACATATGATTTTCAAATTTTAGGAAACAAATATGCAATCCTTAGCTTCTTTATATCCATCATCACTTGTGGATTCTCCAATCAAATTACATATGAAGTGAATTTGTGGCATATCTCAATTTCACTTGCCTATCTAGGCTGGTCCATCTGCAAAGGTACCTTGACATGCTTCTTTCTTTTGTCCTTTTTATTTCCTTTTCCTAGTACTAGTAGCTTGATTAAAATAAGCAATTTTTTCAGGTCATTGCCAACTTAGCCAATTGATCAAAATACTCCAAAGAGATATATAGTTCGATTGCTAAACTGCCACATGAATTTGAGACGCTAAGTACGCGTTGGCATCACACTACCACTATATATACTAGTAAGGAGTAGCCCACGGGCCCAATATGGATAACAAAAGTATGAATGACTTGACAAATCCTCATTTCACAATACAGAACATTGAATAAATCATAAGTATACATTATTGGCATATGCATCTTTCCTGATATCAAGTAAAGAAGAGAGTAACTGCAAATCTTTGCACAGTTATTTATGCTTTACCATCTCCTAAGATTTTCTTTTTACAGCTTTAACTACTACACTTGTAAGACAGAAGATTTACAATAAAATGATTTTTTTTTCTTTCTGAAAAATCTTATTTCAATTTGTAATTCCTAACTTGTCCAAACAATTGAGCCTCCAGAACAACTTCAGCCAAGTGCTATCCAGTTAGCCACTATTATATAAACTTCAACTAATCCTTTGGTTGGCCTGACAAGAAGCTCCCACAGAAGTCGACTTTTAAGCTAGCCTTACTCATAAAAGCTGACAGGAAAACTGAAAGGAAGAAAGCACCTCAGTATATAAAAAGAATATATGCACGTAATATTCAGATTAGGTTGAGTAGTTATTTGTGAGAAATTAGCTTCTTTTTTTCACGTCCTATATAAGAAATCCAAGATAATAGGTACTCTTCATAGTTTCTAATGTTAAAATAATATCTTCTTCTCTCCTCACCTCTTCTAAAGATCCTCTTCTACACAAGTAAGATAGCAAAACTTTGAGATCAGTTGTGAACTTTCAAACATTCAATAATGTTCGCCGAAAATAAGATCACTCTTACCGGCTTATCAATGTGCATCTAATACTATAGACAAAATATATATTAGCTCTATATATTTCAAAATTTCATCTAACATGATTACATACATCCAGTGTCCACTTCCACTTGATGCCAGAGGAAACAACTTCATCGGCACTTAGGGAGGTAAACTCTTGATGAATGTACAATGACAAGGTATAGGAAAATAGGAAACCTTAATATGAAGATACCTTAACAACAACATGAACCAACTACAGTAACTCTACAAGCAAATGTTACTTTAAGTTCCAACTCTCACTTACAAAGACCAAATGTGAAGAACAAATGATAAAATAGCTTATCGGGGCTACGCAATGTTAAACTCATCTAGATTTCAAACGAATCTAGTGGCAGTTAATAAGTAAGAATAGTAATCTAGATGAAACTGCATTTTCATTCACATTTATAGTTCAATACTGTATTTAATTGTGCAGTGTTTGATTTTGCTTGCTCAGCGAATACTAATCTAGATTTTTCAAAATAATAAAAAGAGAACCTAGCTCAAAATCAACGCACGCCACACATCACTCATTCCAAGACTAATTATTATAAGCATCAATAACAAATATATGGACAAAAAATTTGATAAACAATTCACGATAAAGTAAAATATCAATTGTTTAAGATCGCCTTTTCAGAACTACAGGAAAAGTATGACTTAGAGCTTTGATAGCACCCACAAAGCAAGCCAAAGCGCTCAACTTGATTTGAGCCTCGTTTTAGGGCTTAAGTGCGCCTTTGACAACATTGTATTAGTGTATGCATAAACTCCACAATTATTTGTAGTCCTAAAGTACTATCCATGATTGAAGCGAAACAGTGTTACCCTGTGTATCATTTACCAAAGCAAATCAGGAAAGTTAGCAGCAAAAGGAAAAAGAAGGAACAATTTATATATTTTTTATACATTCGTGTATATATGTATGTGTTCTTTTTGTAGGATACGGTAGTAAAACTAAAAGCACATAATATAGAGCAGTTGAACACATTGCATCTGAACTTTGTCCTAACCATGCAAGATCAGACAATATACAAAAGTTATGAAACAACATAGGAAAAGGATCAACTGGCATACTTTAAGGAATACTAATTAGAAGTTGGAGCTGGATCTCATTCATAGCAGTATCAGCAACACTCAGAATCCCATCCTGGAAACCCTATAAAAAGAAAATGACAAATCTGCTGCAATTGGTTCTCTAGAAAAAAAGATATAAAGTATAATTCGATGCCTAGTTACTACCTTACAGATATACTTACTTGACTCTAAGGATTCGCGAGGTGAATTCCTTGCACAAGAATAATCCAAAAGTCATTATCAGTGTGACATCCAGCTTAGCTAAATAATAAATGTTTGTGGAAGCAAATGAAAATTATTTCAGAAGCAATTGTCTAACATGACAGCAAATAAATATATATTATTGAATAATATTATCTAGTAGTAATAATAACATACCTCTTGGGTTGCTGAATGATGTGTATGTTGTACACCTCCTGCGCGAAAAAGGGCAGGAAATAAACGAACTTTTAAGTTGCTTTAGGCATATTATCAAACACCTTAGCTACATCAATATGTGCAATACTATAGTAGAGCGCTTACCTATGCATAGAGAATTTTCATAAGAGGCGTTTGAACAGGTAGTCAAATTCATGTACAGAACTCACCAAGAAAAATAAAGAAATGACAAAGAGCCAAAATAATAATTCATCTATCAAAAAATACAAAATGGTACACTTGCAAATCCATAGGAGAATTTCAGAAGTAGAATGAAGATGTCTAAACAAAGTAATCTGTAAGAAAAAATAGAGAATGAAGATGAATCAAAATCTATATACACACCCAGTTGTGTCGCAACAGCAGGACCGAAACACAGATCAAAGACAACGAAGAATTATGATTTACAATTATTGACATCATGCAAAATTCTAGTAAGAAATTAAAGATATACCCAGCAGATTGTGGTTACACCAGTAGAAATAAAGTAATACCTTGAAAAACCCAACACACACTCAGAAGAACATGAATTTTGAAGATATATATAAAATGAAACATGATAGGAACTCAGAAGAACAAAAGCAGAGCAAAATTAGTAAATCAAGAAGGGAAAGAATGAATTTCGATTTAACTATCACGAATCACGAATTATTCCTAATTTCTAAAGATACAGTACACGTGTTTCATGTAGAATAAAATAGTACACGTGTTTGACAATAGTGTTGTATGTGTTCGGATCGATTCACAATTGAAGATATATATAAAATGCAATAAGTTGGATTCCGTATCTCAAGAATCAAGATCTTGCAATATATTTGATCCATGTACCAAATGACTGATCTTGATACATGGATATACGACGGTATCATATCAGAACTTATTTTAAAATTTTTAATTAAAATATTAATTCATATTAAAAGATATTATTTATCGTGAGTTGATGATATACAATTATGAATTTATAAAATCTAATGGTGATTTATTATGGTTTCTGTACTAAGACTAATATTCATGGAACATTTGTTTATCTCAAATCAAAACAGATAAAATAAAATAAAAAAGAGATGTCATGTATTCAGTAAACTAAATATCCAAGTTGGAGAAAAGGGTGGCTAAAAGAAGATCCTTTATTTACCAATACATGACTATCATATTTATTAATTATGCCTGAGTGAAGAAAAGAATATTTCAACACATGGTGAAATTTTAACTTCTAACGAGTAATAAAGAGAAACACAATAGATATTACTGACCTCTATTTGAATTAACTTTTTTTGGAGGGCACCTCTATTTGAATTATTAACTATTCAAAAGATAGAAAAACCAACAATCCATTTGAATAAGAAGGAAAAACTGGCTTTTTACATATGTACGAATACATTAAAACTACTTTAACTTCAAAAAAGTTATAATAGACAAATTTGTGAATAAAATTTCAGCAAAAATAAGAAGAAGAAAAAAGCATTTGTTTGAAAGACAAGGGGAAAGTTTAAGTGATTTTTTTTTTTAAAATGCAAACAAATAAATGATTGTATCTCAAATAAATGAAAAAATTGAGAGATAAAAAACTAAAAAAGGTTTTTTTTTTTTCTGTTGGACTCAGGCTAGCAAATTAAGAGACGAAGCTAGATTATCAAGACATGTCTGTAAAAGAAAAATATACCTTGTTACTGTCTACCAACTTTTGACGGATCAAAAAGTTTGATGAGGGGTAGACAGACACAAATTAGTATTCGTGAAGACGAAGACGATATACAATGTTTTAAAGTTTGATATATATAATAAGTATTTTAAGTACTTCAACTTTTCTTAAATACTAAAATATATCTACTGAAGAAAGAAGTTAATAAGCAATATTGATTTAGTTTTAACAAATAGGTTATATTGAGTAGTAATAAGATATAATACAATTTTCAAAAAAGATGAAGAGATTTTGTCAAGATTTTGCACAAATGACTTTGTAGATCTCCTCGTTAGAGCTTTCAGCTGTTGTTTATTCATCACTTAATGAATTTGAAAAGAAAATATGTCAAAAGGTAGTTTTTCTTCACTTTTATATTTTCTGCTTAGCCTTTACTAATCTTATATAGAAAGTCTTAAGGTTAAAAAACTATTTCTTCTTCCATTTTCATCTATGTTTCAATCTTTATATTTTACGCTTGTTGGCATTCATTATTTTCTTTTTATGTATGGGCAAATTAACATCCATTCTAAATAAATATTTTAGATTATTTTTGTCAATAATTTTTTTTTTGGGGGTATGGAAACATGAAGCCAAGGGATGTATTTGTTTTCAGAAGTAATTTATGTTTACATCATAAAGTTTCAAGCGGCAAATTTGCAAGCTTCCCATTACTTAATGTTCCAAAAAAAATAAAAAAACTCTAAAGAATTCTCGAATTTATTTCTTCAGTTGTCATTAGCATTTTTTGTTGTCTCTCTAGCTAAAGTTCCGGGAAACACAAACCATTATCTAACACTGCAATTAATGGTATTTCACTCCAATTAATTGACTGCAGTGTTGGATAAAGAATAAAGTTGACAAGCCCCATCTGTATGATCTATCAAAAATATTGCACATTGAGTAAAACTTATTACATTTAAAATTTGCTAAACGTTGTATTTACTCGAATTTCAATTAACAAAATAAAAAAGTTAGATTCGATCTCACACTAATTAAAGAAAAAGAAGAAATTGAGTGGTCCTAGGTACTTTTCTAAATAGTACTTACGTAACCCTTGAGTTTATATTTGTTTCTATCTGTATTTGTTTTAAATTGTTGGTCTAATATAGACATTATAAATAAATTTTGCGATTTTAATTTGTTATTAAACGTTTTGTAAGACCTGAAAATATGAATGACACATTCTCATTTCTAGGGTATTTGGCTTTATTTCTCTCAGTTATTACAAGTTATAAAGATTGTATCATTTCTTGTAATTAGATGGTCTTCTTTTAGAGTGTCCTTTTACGAAATTTTGTGTAAATGTGATATCTGTAGGTTACCCAGTGTCGTAACTTTTCTGTTGCATATGCCAGCTCTCCTTCTTCTAGTTACGCTTTGAATTAGACAAATATTTTTGTAGTAGCAACTCAATCATACAAACAACCATCAATCACCATAATATAAACAATAGTATTATTTTAAATATAACAGTTAAGCGAATTATAAAGAATGTAAAAGTTTTTTCAATGCAGTTATCCTCACATTCTAATCATTGTCAAAATATCATAGGCAAATTACACATGTGGCCGGTCATCCAGAATTAATTATATTTGCTAATGAAATACACAAAAAATAACTATTTATATATAAAATATGTATATTATACCTCAATATACAAAATATATACATTTGGTGGTTATTATTTTTTAGAGTGATTATATTGTGTAGTTTTTTCCAAATATCTTTTCAGTCTTTTTTTCCTTCTAGATGATAAATTTATTTTATTATTTCTTTTTCCTTCTCTTCAATTTTTTTGTAATTAGGCTTCTCTTTTATCCTACTTATTTCTCTTTACTCACTTTCTAGAACAAATCTTGGATGCAGTTTGGGATTTCATCCGGTTTCTTCTCGCATAAAAAGCCCTAATTTTATCAAGAGACCTTCTTGAACACACTTTTCTTGATTTCCTTTAAGATATTTGAAAATTCACATCTTCACGAGGATGAACAACAATGTTTGTTGAGGATTAGAAATAATGACTCTCGTTGAATTGGAGAAGAAATGATTGTCCCCTCTCTTTTTACCCTTTTACTTTTTTTTACCTTGATTTTTAAATAAAAGTGATATTAACATTAAAATTTGATTTTTTTTTCTCACATTTAATGACATGCAATTTTTTTATTAACATGTGTAGTGTCACTTGGTAAAAGTTTTAGTATTTTTGGAGAGTACACCTAACACACATATAATATTGAGTCGGAGGTATTTTAGCCATGGAATAGTTTAATATGATATTCAAAAGAGGTGATATATATAGTTTATGAGGTTTTTTAAATCATTAACTTATTAACTAAGAGTGATACGTATTTTGAAACATTTTGGTTTAAGCTTTGATCTTTCTAAGTTGTTTTCAGTTTTAAGCATTATATGTATTGATTGCAACAAATGTACTGGTTTCAACATATAGACTAAATAAATTTGTTGATCTTTTATAAATAAATAGCAAACCAACTAACAAAGAGCGCCAAATGATGGTTAATTTTTCATCCTCTAAATTTCAAACGAAATAGATACAATAAGAAATAAGATATTTAGAAAAAAAAAATGTTCTTAAAGAGTTCTTGATTTATTACAATTTGTACTTTATCAGTCTTAGTATTTTTAATTAAAGTAGTGAAAAGCATCTGCTATATTGTAATTGACCATATAACTCAAGGAACTTCACTAGAGAATTTATAAAATGCAAACAAATAAATGATTGTATCTCAGATATTATAAAGCATTGCCGTTGGAATTTTGCCCTTTTGCAGGTGCTGTCAAATGGAAGATACAAAAGTTGCTTGAATAGAGCAGTGGTAAACAACAAGACTCCTAGGAAATCACTTGCTTTCTTTCTTTGCCCAAAGAAGCTAAGGATAATGTAGTGAGCCCACCAAACAACCATAGAATATATCCCTATGGTTAGTTGTCGTCTGTAGAGCTATTCGGTCAGCTCTGTTATGCTCTACTGTATATACTGGGTTAAACTGTTGAAATTTTGTTTTTCGCTTTTCTTTTTGGACTTTCCCATCTATAGGATGTTTATTTTTTCCTTCATTCAAGATGTATATTAATCAACTCTTTGCTCTTCGAAAAATTTAATGCAATTACTAATGTTTATTAATTTAACTCTGTGTAAAAAAAATTCTTTCTACAACGGCATATCTATAAGTTCTCGCTATAAAGAAAAATGGTTATATTATGTGTGTACTCCATGGTTCATCATAAAAATAGAGATAGCATCGTTGTGTAAAAGAAAAAGGAAATGGGAAGTATTAAAACATAAATGTATCTTTCTGCTTCTTTCTATTTATTTTAATTTGGGCTTATTAATTTCAGTTTCATAGATAGTGCACTTTTAGTTAGACCAGTTGAATAGACGGATGGATAGGTTCCTTTAGAGATATTGGTTGCATAAATATTACGTATTTGCTGTTTTATAATATTAACTTTTGCACTTCCTTTGTGTCAATTGAAAAAATATGAGATGCTTAAACTATGACCATTGCGCGCATTTTGTTTGTTCTTCTTTGTCTTGCGGCAATTTGGGTATTGTGTACCGAACTTGTGATAATTGTAACCATCCGATGCCTTACATCCACAACACCTCCAAACCTCACTAAGAAACTAGAAACTGGAGGGACATAGATCATTTTAATCAACATTGGAATGACGGAGGCGGATTGAAAGCATGTAAATATTAATAAAGCGAAAGCAAGGTAAGTTGATTAAAACTTACTTTTCTTAAGGTACTTTCTCTAAAAGCGTGTTTCGAGTTAATACTTAAGTTGTTTGCAAATATATTTTAGTACTTGTGGGGACAAACAAGTATGGATGTTTCCATGTATTAAAATATTATATTGCATATGTAGTGTCATGTTGTTTTATAAAATTTTATTTTAAATCTTGTTGGCAAAATGACACTCAAGGTAAATGTTATAAGTTTTTATCAAAACTTACGTATTGACGAAAGTATACATATTTGAGTGCTAAAGATAAGTTTTCATGGAAAGTATTTTTTTTTTGGAAATTGATGAGCAGAATAACACTTGTGATATCTTTTAAAGATTGATGTTAAATTGCTAAAAGCTTTAGCATGTAAAAGGTTATTTATTTAAATTT